CGAGGGCCAGCCGCTCCTCCCCGGAGCCAGCGGCCCGCGTGCGGAGCCTGCCTGGCCAGGGCCCTTCCTCCCCCAGCGAAAGCACCACCTGCCCCCTTGCCCCCAGGCCTGGACCCTGTCTGCCCAGCTTCCCCTGGGGTTGTGGTCTCTCTTCCGGGACTCTCCGATCATGGTTCATAGACAGTCACCTCATCGTAGGTCACTGTCCTAATTGAATTTCAGGGTAAAGTGCTTATATAGTTAAAAGCCAATGAAGAAAATAGGACTTAAGGCATTGATTTTGTTTAAAGATTTATTTATTTGAAAGAGGGAGAGGGCAGGGGCGGGGTGGGGGTGCAGAGGGAGAGAGAGAATCTCCAGCAGAACCACCACCCCGCCCCACCCCGAGCATGGAGCCTGACACGGGGCTCGATCCCATGACCCTGAGATCATGACCTGAGCCGAAACCAAGAGTTGACGCTTAACCGACAGAGCTGCCCAGATGCCCCAACTTAAGACATTGTTCGAGCAAGTCCGTACTGTTGAGATGAGCACGAAAACATCCTGTCTGACTTTGTCGTCCGTGCGACGTGTGGGTGCTGCAGAGGAGCGGGGCTTGGACTCACGGACACTCTCTGTGAAGCACTGGTATTTGGGGCTGTCCCTTCAACACCCATCCTCCAACCCTGGGCCTCAGGTTTGCACACGTGGTGCCGTCGGTCTTCTGGAGTGCACGCGGGATGTGGCCTGTCTCCGTTGCCGCCTGTGCCTTCCAGCTGCAGAGTGGCCACCGCAGGGAGGTCCCCGATGCCCCGCGTGTGGGCGGCTGACCTGAGTGCAGCCCCTTTGGTGCCCTTGTCTGGTGGGCCCCTGGGACCACCCTGAAGCGCAGGCAGAGCCCAAGCTGATGTTGATGCCTGGAATGTCTGGAGAGCTTGAGACATGCTGGGCTGCAGTGTTAAGAGCTTCCTTGTCTGCCCTCCACTCTGCCTCCCTCTCCTGCTCGTCCCAGGGTGCCGGGCAGGAAGCTGTAGAGGGGCCTAGACTTTCAGGCGGGCGGGGAATCTTGCTGTGCTATTCCCCGGCCTGCTTGAAGGCAGGCTGCTGCTGGTGTCCCCAGGAAGAGAAGAGCTAAGTGCCCCCCTGCTTCTTCCCAGCACCTAGGCCCTTTGGTAGTCTTGGGGCGTCTTAGGCTTAACTCCTTACTGAGAGGCTCTGCACAGGCCCAGGATGTGGGGTGTTGCTTGGTGATGAGGTTGTGAGTTAGGAGTAGTGACTTCTGATGAGTTTTGGATACAGCCGGGGGTAAAATAACAGACCTCCCAGGGGTAGTTGGGGTGGTTTAGTGCCCTTGGCCAGAAACACCTGCGGGCCACCTGGCGTTGGGTATGAGGCAGAGGTGGGCTGGCAGATCCTTGCTGGACTGGGTGTCGGGCTGCCACCTCTAGTTCCTGTCTCATCCCGCTTGTCCCACTTCTAGATGCCCAGATAAGAAGTAACCCTTGGAGCTTTAGGAGGAAAGGATGCTAGGTCAGGCCCCCAGACCTGTGGCTGCTTGTTCAGAAACCAGGGGAACACAGCAGACTTGTGTGACATCTGCAGGGCCACGTGGCTGATGCGGAGGGAGGCTGTGGTTGGTAGTCAGGGCCTCAGACGGACGGGGACTAGTGTGGACTAGTGTGTGTTGCTGTGCTTGAGGGGTGGGGAGCTGGAGGGGACAAGCCGGACACAGAATGTTCTGGCCATACCCCGTGCTGGTGACACAGCAGCAGGGAGTGCCAAGGGGCGGCAGTGAGTTCAGGAGGGTGCAGCCGGGGGGGCTGGACTGCGGGGGGAGTCAGGGGCGGCCTGGAGAGCAGGGCCAGCAGGTGAAAGGAGCGCTGTCCCCGGCCACGGGCCACAGAGCTTGCCTGCACGATGTGGCGCGTTCCTCTCCTTACCGGTGGGTGAGCGCGCACACTCGTTCTTCACACCTGTCCAGGACACGTGGCCAGTTTTCAGGCACTTGGAGGACGTCTTAGCAAGGGGGCTCCTGGGAGGGCAGGAGAAAGAAGCATGTGTCAACGTCAGCTCTGCTCAGGGTCGCTGTCCTCGATGCTGGGTCCCCAGGCCTCTCGGGCCCCATTTCTCCTCTGAGGTTCAGCTGGGGCTGGACCATCCCCGAGGGTCTTACCAGCCCTGTTGCTCTGTGACCTGCAGCCCGGCATGTTTCCAGATGCTTGCCCCATTCTCTTACTGGTTCCTTGAATCCCCCATGGCTGACCCAGGTGAAGCCGAAGCTCCTGCCCTTCCCTTTGCACTGGCAGCCCCGTGCCTGAGCGCCTGGCCCTGCTGCCCCGCCTTGTGATGCAGACCTCCTGGACGGCACCTCTCCACTCCCAGGCTCACCCGCCGCTGGGCTGTGCTGGCCCCTTGAGGGTGTCTCTCTGGGTGGAGCCCCTGCAGGGGCAGGTCCTGCTGTCGGAAAATGCCCAGCACATAGCGCTGTCCCAGCGGAGAGAGCCAGCTGTCGTGCTCCTGCTGATAACAAGTCTAAAACCTCGTGCCCATGCCCTGCGCTGTGCCTGGACCTCTGAGCATGGCCACCCCCTGCGTCGGTCTAGGCTTGCCTGCTGGCCTCCGTTGTCACGGGCCTCCTCCACCTGACACCCTTGGGGGGAGCAGGTCTCACTGGCTGTGCTTTTGGGTGACAAAGCTTGTCTTCGCTCTCCCCTATCCACCCCCACACCCCTGTTTCAGGTGCCTTGAAGGGAGGGACCCTATCCTAGACCAGAGGTGGCTTCTTTGTGTCCCTGTTGCCTGCCCACTCCACAGGTGGCCCGGAGTGGGTAGCCCTGGTCACGGAGCTGACCTCCATCCTCAGTGGTCAGTGTCTTCGTGCTGGAAGGGTCCATGGTATTCTAGACCTAGGCACGTGCCGGCTGTGCTTGCTTTCTGATAACGGAGTGGAACCACTTCTTAACGTAAATTTTTGTTTCTCCAACAAGAATTTTTCTCTCTTAGTGACCGCTCTAGGTGAAAGTTCTCATGAAACCAGGGGTTTTGTCATTATTAGATTGCTCGTTTATTCTTGAAACCATTCAAACAAAAATTAGACCATGTTTGGTGACTTAAATTCTGTTAGATTGTTCTCTGCTCTCTCTTGTGACTTCTCTCTTTTAGGGCTGCACACCTGAGCACCACACGCTGTGTGATGTAGCTGAACCACAGATTTGGTTCACCTAGGGACTTTTCAGCACTCTTACCCAAAGGTGATTGGGCGCAACCACTGTTCTACGTGAGGGCTTAGGGGTGAAAGCCGCTCCCTTCCCCGAGAACGCGCAGGCTTTGGGCTCCATGGTGATCCTCCGCACTACCGGGTCCTCCCCACGGTCTGGAGGTGTTGTTCCCGTGGCAGGTGGGGAGGTGAGGGCTGAATGTCGCAGTCTGCAGTCACAAGAGACCGTGTTAGTGATTCGGGACCTCGTGCGGCCCGTCTCTCCACCCCGCCATCCGCAGGCCTGGGAGGAAGCATAACTTGTTTCAAGTGCGTTCCACGTTAGCTCGGGGCTGAGAGGACGTTCAGCACGCCGCCGCTTGTTCCAGAGGAGTGTGAGGAGAACAGAGCGTGGCCTTGGAAGATGAAGGGGGTGGGAGTCAAGGTCCCCGAACCGGATCTTGCGGGGGCCTGTGGTGGGCGAGGCTGCGCTCCGCAGGTGCTCAGTCCCTCCCGCCCACCTGGCTCTGCAGAGCCCTGTGCCCAGCCGTCTCCCTGAGCTGGTCCCTTGCTGGGGAGGACTTGTGTGTCACCCACGTGTCACTGCGCGGTGCCTGGCTTTGTTCTGAGCTTGCTTCCAGTTCCTATTGAGTTGCGAGCTACTGTGTTACAGATAAAAAGACCCCCGCAGGTGAAGTGAAGGGTAAGTGCCATCTGAAGTCAGTCGGGGAATTAGCAGCACAAACAGGCCGCACGCCCACCCAGCCTGGCGCTTGGGGGCCGGCCGCTGATGGCAGGGCCCGCTATCCCCTCACCGTGCTGCCCTTGGCTACCTAGGCTACTTAACTGTCTTCCAGGAAATTAAGTTTAAATCAGATTGAAGCTATGATGTTCCTTGTTCTTTTCCATCCCGACAGTTATCTTTAAATCTCTCCTTTTAATTAACTCAATTTTCCAGGCCTTGTGTAGGCCGGGTGGTTTGTTTGTGGAGGGCCTGGCGCCGTGCCCCCGATCGGGAGACAGGGCTGCAGCTCTGCCCTTCTAGGCTGGGCGGCCCCAGGACGGGTGGGGTAACAAGGGCTTGGCTGCCCAGCCTTGGCACGGCGCTCACGGTGCGCAGTGCAGGGCAAGGGCCCCGCCTCCTCCCCGGCAGCCAGGGGCAGCTTGCTACCCTCTGGCTGAAGCAGCTTCTGTTTTTTTTTTTCTTTCTAGAACTGCTTCTTTGGCAGCTTTCACTTCTCCTGTAGGCAAGTCTTAAGCTAATATTTATCCTGCAAAGTATCTTAAAAATGCTGGAGGGCGAGTATTTGTGGAGAACTTTATCAATCTTTGAAAGAGCATTATTGTTACGTTGATAAACTGAGGCACTATTTACAACAGGCAGATTGTGTTTGAACTTGCAACCTTAGTCCAACAGCTAGTTTTTGTTAACAGATGGAATTGTTTTGGCTGTTCTTGTAAAGAGGTCTTTATCCGTGTGGTTTTTGTTTGTTGCTGGTGAGCGGTTGGCCTGTGCTGGGGGAGGGGAGACCTGGGCGGCTGAGTCTGTAATACGTTTAGGTGTTAACTCATTTTATGAGCCACAGGCTTTTCAGGAATGTGGACTTTGGTGCTTGCAGCCCTGCCTCTTCGTGAGGGTCTCTTTAAAACTGGAGGTGCCTCCTTCTGAGGGGACAGTGGCCTCACCATGAGCAAGACCATGGGGACAGGTGGTATTGTTTGCGTGGTCAGGAGATTTCAGATCTGAAGGAGAACAACACTGAGAGTGAACTTGTTCCTTAAAAACTAAAGTAAAATCTTTCCGGGGGGGGGGGTTACTTTTCAGTAAAAGGAGCCACTTCCTGGATCTTCTTCTGAACCCGTTTCCTCCACCAGGCAGCCCTCTTTGACCCTCTTTGACTCTTGGGTGAGTGAAATGCCTCCTGGTGCGTTGGGGGTGGAGGGGCCCGGCTCCCCCAGGGCTGCACGTTCCCTGGCCCCCGGCCTGGTGCTAAGGGTGTCGGGTACCAGCGGTGGGGGCCGGCGCGGGCTTGGGCAGGAGGAGGTGGGAAGCCGTGCCCGAGAAGTCTAGGTCCTGCAGAATGTCACAGTGATTCAGCCGTGGCTGGTGGGGGCTGGCCAGAACTGGAGACAGATGCCTTTCCCTGGGGCTGGGGGAGCCCAGGTAAGGGCGTCAGGCCGGGAGGGGCTTGTGCACCTGGCCTTGGGTGGGGGGGCTGCCCTGGAGGTGGTGAAATGTGCGGGGGGAGGGGGATGCCTAGCAGAGGTCACAGTGGCGCCTGTGAAGTCTTGTTTGTGCCCTGCGGGGAACATCCGCACTTCCTCCTTGGTCAGCTGACTCATCTCCTGCTGACTTGCTGTTTCTCCTCTGTCTGCTGGTCTCCATCTGTTTGTGTTTCTCTGTCTCTGTGTGTGTCGGTGTATCTCCGCCTTCCCGCCTCCCTCCTGACTCATGCCCTGAGCTGGGCCGTGCTGGGGCGGGGGGCGGTGTGTCCTGGGGCCTCCTGCTGCGCCCACACCGCGGCGGGTTTGCAGCCCCATCCGCCCCGGCGCCCATAGGCTTCAAAGAGCGGTGGTTGGCTGAGTTGTTGGGGATGCACTGAGTACCTGCGGGCAGAAACCCCACTACCTTCCTGATTGGACTTTGCAGGTCATTTCTAGATAAGTTCCTCATACTACAGTATTTACTTTTATTTTGGCGAAATACACCTAACGTAAAATGTACCATCAGAACCATCTTTAAGGGTACGTACAGTTCCAGCGGCGTTAGGTTCGCGTTCACCACGTAGCGCTCCATTGCTGCCCTCCGTCTGCAGGACTTCTGCGTCTTCCCAAAAGGAAGCTCTGTCCTCGTTTATTTTTAATGCATCTGAAAATCCGCCATAGCCAGTAAGGTCCCGTGGTGGGTGCTGCTGCCGTCCAGTGTCAGGGCTGTTGGAATCCAAGTCCCCGGGCTGGCCGGAGGGAGGTGCGGGGCTGTGTGCCCCGGAGCTGATGTCGGGTGGCCTCGGGTGGAAAGCGCTCTATGAAGGGCAGTGAATGGCCTTTTTCTTGTGAATGGCCATTTATCTCCAGTAGATGTAAAACCTAACCTGTTTAACCCCGTTGGTTTCGCACCTGTGGTAGCGCACTCAGGTCCTGCTGTCGGGCTGAGTTTATGGAAAGCAAGTGTCATCCGTTTATGTAGCTGAGAACTGCATTGTGCCCAGAGTAGTTTAGTTTTAATTACGTCCCTGAGGCTTCCGTCTCACGACCTTCTGACAGGCTGAGTGGCCAGGTACTCTCCTTTGGGGGAAGGCGGTGGTCTCCCCCCGCGGTCTCCTGCTGCGAACATTCCAGTCATTCATTATCTGACTTGGGTCAGCGTCAGGTGGAGCTTGCCCATCTCCCAGGTTGGCGCAGGGGGAGGCTGAGGGCCAGATTGGGCTTCCTATGTGTGGATTTGCCCTGTGTGTGTGGGGGGGGGAGGGTGGTACGCTTGGCTCCATTGGCCCTCACTTGCATTGCAGGCATCTGGGGACTCTGGGGTTTCTCCCTCGCTCAGGGAGGCCTGGGCTTGATCTGGTGCTGTGTTTTTGGCCGTGTTCTCTGCACTGGCTGGAGGCAGCCTTCTGCTGGCTCACAGATGGTAATCCGGTCCTGGAGGGCAGTGCTGAGAGCCCCCGGGGACGTCAGCACCCACAGATTAATGAGCGGGAAGGGTGCCCATTGGTGTTGTCAGCTGAGAAACACACATGAGGCTTTCAGCCTTGGGAGCCCAGTGCTGTTTGGGTCGCAGGCAGGGAAGGATGCTGTACATCACCTGGACAAGATTAGAGTTTCCTAACCCCACGTGGGCCTATTTCAGACCTTGATGCAGGGCTTCTCTGTCTTGCCTCTTAACCCGGAAAGAAGAGGAAAGAGCCATTGACTCCTTTCTCCTTGATGGGCACAGGGCCTGGTAGGCTGACCTGGGAGTACCCTTAAGTGGGAGAATCTGTGATGAACAGAGCAGGTGGCATTGTTAGGGGTGGGTGCTTGACTTAAGTCCAGTGGGGAGAAGACTAAGTCCAGCGGCGGGGTGGGGGGGCAGTAGGTGCTGTGGACTGGGAAGCCATGTGATTGTGTTTGGGAACTGGGGTGGATGCCTAGTGAAGAGCCAGCTAGGGGTCCCGTAGGAATGAATAGCCTCCATGCACCAAAACATGTGGGACAGGTCTGCTGCTTCCTGGGGTGGGGTTAGCGTGCAGTCCGTGTCTCTCTGACGTCGAGGGTGGACTGGGAGCAGCTTCTGAGATGGTTCCTGGTAATCAGCTCTGAATCTGTACTAATTAAGGGGACCTGCCAGTAGCTCTGCATCCGTAGACGGCTCTTCAGAACTGCCTCTGTTGGCACATCTGGGCCGCGTGAGATTTGACTTTGTGATTGCAAAACACTTGAATGTCTGCCACACGCCAGGATCTTATTCTGCATTTGGAGAGGACCACTAGGAAAATTTGTTTTTATTTATTTATTTTATTTTTTAAAAGATTTTATTTATTTATTTGACAGAGAGAGACAGCGAGAGAGGGAACACAAGCAGGGGGAGCGGGAGAGGGAGAAGCAGGCTTCCCGCTGAGCAGGGAGCCTGACGCGGGGCTCGATCCCAGGACCCTGGGATCATGACCCGAGCCGAAGGCAGACGCTCAATGACTGAGCCACCCAGGCGCCCCAGGAAAATTTATTTTTAAAGGTAATTTACTGTGTGTGTATGTTTTTAAGATTTATTTATTTGAGAGAGAGTGTGTGCAGTGTGTGGGGGGGTGCGGTGTAGAGGGAGAGAGAATCTCAGGCAGACTCCTGTGGAGCCCAACGTGGGGCTCCATCTCACGACCCTGAGACCATGACCTGAGCCAAAATCAGGAGCCACCCAGGCGCCCCTACTCTTTTCAAATTTAAGATAAATTTAGGTCCTGCAGAAGCAGAGAGACTATAACTACAAATCATCCAGAAATAACACCCTTTTCTCTGCTTCCGTGTCTTAAAAAAAAACTTAATATGATCATAATGTGTACTTGATCTATAACCTGCTTTTTGCACTTGATATTAGGTATATTTCCACGTCAACAGGGAGTCCTGCAGCGGAATTGTGTGTCTGGGTGCGCCACTTTATTTATGGGAGTTTCAGGGTTTCTGTGCCTTTGTTTCCTTACGACGAGTTCCGAAGAGGGAATGCGAGCCCAAGGGAATTCACATTTTGAAGCTTTGGATACACAGTGACCACAGCTTACGTTTTTCAGAAGTCCTTTTCGTGGTGTCAGGACCATCCTCACAAATTCCATAGGGATAGTCCGCTCAGGATTCCCAAGGAATCCCTGGTTCTGATTTGCTGACTTCTCCAGATGGCAGAAGGGTTAGTCATTTAGGTACCAAACTGGGTTTCTGCATCACAGAAAATCGGGGAACCTCCAGGTTAAGGGGTCAGTCTTGTCTGTAGAGGTAGAGCTGGCATACACTGTTGAGGAACCTGGGAGCAGGCTCCCGTCCCCCCCGGCCCCCTTCTGTAAGAGTTTGTCTCTGCTCCAAGCCACTTCCCTGGGCGGAGACAGGAGGGGCAGGGGAAGTGGCCGCCCTGCCCTCTCTTCTCCGCGCCCCACCTTTCCTGGGCCTCTGGACGGGGGCCTGAGGAGGGGTCCTGGGACCCTGTTTTCCTTGATGTAAAACCAACTGTAGGTGTGCCGTAAGGGATTCATGAGATGGAGGGGGTTTATTAAGGGTGTAGACACTCGAAAGACCACGTTTTTAGTGGCTCAGCAATGCATGCTGTCTTGTAAAAATGGTGCAGAAATGACCTGTCCCATCTGTGTATATCACTGACCTGCATCTCTGGCTTCAGGTGTATGGAGGGAAACAGAGTGCTGGTTTTATTGCTGTCGTTGTACTTCTTAGAAGAGTAAATTTAACTCCAGGCCATATAGAAAGCACATGTAAGTTCTACTCATTAACCAAAACTTTACCTTTTCTAGGAAAACTGGTTTTGATTTTGCTATTTCTCAAATAGATTTCATACTTCCCCTCTTTAGAAACTGGCATTTTGTGTTCACCTGACACACGGCCCGTAATTCAAGTCATTCCATGTTGTTAGACAGTCCGTTTGCAGTTTTTCACTTCTGTGGCACTGTGTCCTCCTTGCCTTAGGGTGAGAGTGGAACCTGGAAACTGCTTTGGCTTGGTTTTATATATAAATGCCGGCAAAGGGTTTCTTTGTGTCTTGGCAGAGTGGCTGGTGGTTCTTCATTCGGCCACCTGCTCTGAGGTCAGTCCTTGGTGATGTTTGTAATGTGAGGAGTCTGGTTTTTATTTTTCAATACCATTTGGTGGTTACGAGTGTCCTGAGGCAGCTTGCAGCCAGCCTGCCTCTCTCGTCCCTGGCCTGGAGCCCGTCTGCACCTGGCTCTGCCCTCAGATGAAGACCGTGCATGTTCAGAGCAGTAATCCAGGTGTTGTCAGTGACTGCCCACTTGGCATTTCGGGCGGTCTTGAGGCTTGCTCTCCCAGCGCGTGCCGGGGTTCCCGGAGCTGCATGGTGGATGGCCAGGCTCTTGTTTCCATGGTAGCCCAAGCTTCCTCGGACTCCCGGGGTTTGCTAGGAACATGTAGAAGAGGGGCAGGGGGAAGAAAACTTCACTTGCTGCTTTTTTTTTTTTTTTTAAGATTTTATTTATTTATTTGACAGAGAGAGACACAGCGAGAGAGGGAACACAAGCAGGGGGAGTGGGAGAGGGAGAAGCAGGCTCCCCGCAGAGCAGGGAGCCCGATGAGGGACTTGATCCCAGGACCCTGGGATCATGACCTGAGCCGAAGGCAGACGCTTAACGACTGAGTCACCCAGGCACCCCACACTTGCTGCTTTTTAATTAACAAACAAAACCCATCCCTCTGAGTTGA